TCAATCAATCAGTCCCTCTCCCTCCCTCCTTTCCTTCTACCTTCCACCTTTTCCTTCTCTCCTTTCTTTTTTCTCTCATAGGCTCTCACTATGTGTCTTAGTTACTTTTCTATTCCTGGGATAAAACATCATAGCCAAGGGAAAAGAGGAAGCATTTAAGTTGGTGTACGGTTTCAGAGGTTAGAGTCCATGATAGCAAAGTGAAGGAATAGCTGAGAGCTCACATCTTGATCTAGAACCACAAGGCAGAGAAAGAGATCCACTGGGAATGGAGTCAAAGCCCACCCCCAATGTCACACCAACAAGGCCACACCTTCTAATCTTCCCAGACAGGCCTGGGGACCAAGTATTCAAATGTATGAGTTTATGGGACCATTCTCTTTAAAATTACATACTGTGTGTACCAGATTGGCCTCAAACTTGTGATCCTCCTGCCTCAGCCTTCTGAGCACAGAGATTTTAGGCATGTGCTATGTACCTTTTTCTATTTTATTAAAAAAGAAACTTTTCTTGATTAGAGGTATAGATCATTTACCTTCTTGACTGAATTTATTCATAAGTATCTTATTTTTTTAGATGCTGTCATGTTTTGATTCCTTTTTCAGATAGTTTTTTTTTTTTTCAGAAATACAACTAACTTTTAAAGATTGATTTGAATCTAAAACATACAGGAATCACTTATTCTTTTTATTTGTGAACTCTTATTTTCTGTATGTAGATTCATAGCACTTGCAAATAGAAACAATTTTGCTTTCTCATTTTTGGTTCGTATAGTTTTTATTTCTTTTTCTTATCTGATCTTGGTTTAGTATTAACAGACATGGTGACATTAGACCCTTACCCTGTGGAAGATCTTGGAAGAAAAGCTCTTAGATCTTATTATGATGGTTATTATGTCAGCTTTAAGTTTTCATAGTCCTTAAACAATTTACTGTTTATTTTTCATTGTGTGTGTATGTATGTCTTTGGGTGGATATATATATGCATGTGAATGCAAGTGCCTGAAGAGGCCAGAACAAGGCACCTCCTCTGGAGCTGAATAACAGGCAGTACTGAGCCATCTAATGTGCATGCTGGGAACTGACCTCAAGGAGCAGCAAGCACTCTTAGTGTTGAGCCATTTCTCAAGCCACCATAGACATTATTTTCTTAAGAAAATATCCTTTCTTTGTAAACTGTTGAGTTTTAAAAATTTACTTATTAATGTATCCATGTGTGTACAATGTGTATGTATGATGTGTGTGTGTAGGTCAGAAGACAAGTTTCAGGTTGGTTTTCTTCTTCCATCTTGTTGAGGCACAGACCTTCTTATTTCTGACATGCTATGTAATTAAGGCTAGCTTGTCTTTGAGCTTCTGGATGAATTTTTTTTATCTCTACATCCTATCTTGTTATAAGAGTGCTAAGATTACAGATTCATGCTACCACATCTGGCTTTTTATGTGTATGGGTTCTGCAGATCAAGCTTATGTAGTCAGAGTTGTGAGGCAAGTACTGTTCCTGCTGAGCCATCTGGCTGGCTTCTTTTTGCTTGTTTTAATCAAGAAAGGATTATAGTGGGTTGACCAGATGGCCCAGCAGGCCAAGGTGTGTTTCCTACTAAACTCTATGACCTGAGTCCAATCTCTGGAATCCATGTGGGAAGGAGAGGACAGATTTCCACAAGTTGCCTTCTGACCTCTGCATGTATTCAGTGGCACACACAGACACACACACAGACACACACACACACACACACACACAGACACACAAACACACTAAATGTTAAAAGAGGGCTTTGTGAAGCATGCTTTCTATGTGAATTGATATGATGTGTGTTTTTTCTTCCATTTGTTAGTATTACACATCACATTGACTTGTAGATGCTAAGTTGTCCTTCCATGTCAAGCGTAGATGCCCCTTGGTTGTGGTGTTCTCTTTTTTGCATGTTGTTGCATTTGGTTTATTGGGATTTTATTAGTCTCTCAGAGGCATTGACCTGTTCTTGAATATTTTTGTTTTGCTTTGGTTTCAAGGTAATACTGGCCTTGTAAAAAGTGTTTGGAAGTGGTTCTCTATTTTGAAAGAGCTTAAGGAGACTTCATATTAATTCTTATTTGAATGTAATCATGAAGCCACCTGACTGTTGATTTTTCCTTGTTTGTATGGGTGTGTGTATCTTAATTTATTACATTTTTAAAATGTTGATTAACATGTAATGACTGAAGCATCACACATTCCCCTTGTACATGCATGATACCTGTATCAAGTATGTATAGAGCACTGCGTAAGTAGTGAGATCTTGTAGCATTCAAACTCCTAAACTGTAGCAGATCCAAATACAAACACTATCTATGAACTTAAATCTGGAGGGAATGCCTGGACTGGCCCTTTTGGTGACTTTGGGGTCTGTTTCAGTTACATCATCAGGAAACACCCATGTGCTAATGATTAGTTCCAAGGAAGAAATTGGCCAGATATTGAATTTTTAAATTATTTGGTATGATGAGTAGTTTATGTCACTTTGATAGTCACTGGAGAGGAGGAGCTTCGGTTGAGAAAATGCCTCCATAAAAATCAGACTTTAGGCAAGCCTGTACAGCATCCTCTTAATTACTGATTGAGGGCCCGGACCATTGTGGGTGTTGTCATCAATGGGCTAGTAGTCCTGGGTTCTCTAAGAAAGCACTCTGAGCAATCCAGTCGCAGCACCCTTCCCCGGCCTCTGTATCAGCTCCTGCCTCCAAGTTCCTGCCCTATCTGAGTCCCTGTTCTAAGTTTGTTCAGTGATGGTCTATGATGTGGAAGTGTAAAGTTGAATACACAGTTTCCTCCTCAAATTGCTTTGGTCACGGTGTCCATCACAGCAACAGTAACCCTAACCAGGACGTGTGGCTCACATATTAATGTTTGTATAGTCTCAAAATGAGATCAGGAATTGTAAAGCAACTGCCTTAATGTTATCAGAATTTTTGGTTGTGGTTTAGAAAAAGGTGCTTACAAATTTTAATATGGTTAAACCAGATTATCATGTTGAAAAATTTTGCATTTGTTTGTAGAATTGAATTCTTGCTATTATAAAATTTATTGTTTTGAGTTTAATGTTCCTAGAATACATCTATGCAATATGAAATTATATTACTTCATTTGAGTCAAAATACATATTTAATGAAAAGTTACTTGGTTATGAAACGAGGTTGAATATTTTAAAATTTCAGGCAAGTTTAACGATAGCTTGTGAACCTCATATTAAAATTAAGTGGGGGCTGCATAAAACTTTCCTGTTCTGTCAGTTCTGGCTTTTATTCTGATGTCTATGAAGAAGTGTTAACAGCTCTCTTATAGCTTTGTCTGATTCCCTTAAACGTGGAGAATTGTCCTTTAGGATTTTTTTTTTTTTTTTTTTTTTTATGGGGCTTAGAAGAGATGGTTCATTGTTGGCTTTCCTCAGGACTGAAATGCCAAAGAACAGCATTCTGTTTCTTCACAGGCTGGGGCTTAAGTGGAGCAATGTCAGCGTTGCTCACTCCAGCTAATTATGACTAATACTGTTGAGTTCCTGCCACTCCAGTACTTTCTCATTTGCTTTTTCTAATAGAATGCCTGCTAATAAGCAAAGCCATAGATGAGTGGAGGATAAAAATAATTGTGTGCTTCATTAACCATCAGTCCATAGCCTCACTTCTATTTAATGTAGGGAGGATGGTTAGCTTTGAAAAAAAAAAAGAACTATTTGTTGTGTGTGATGGAGCCATTCTAGCGTTAAAAACAGACCTTGGGGCAATTTTCCTTATTGTAATATGTGAAAAGGAACCATAATTAATATCACACTCAATACATACATGGCTGCATAAGCATGCTAAAAATCTCCTGTTTTTATTAAAGGCAATATAGCATTGTTTTAGAAATTAATTTAAATTTATTATGGCATATTCATACATAAATGTCATTATCCTTTGATATAATTCACTCTTCCCCTCTGACCTCCCTTGCACTGCTCATTCTCCAGCTGGTTCCCTCACCATAGCCCTCTCTTCTGCTTTCATGTCACACAGTCTGTTATCCTCTATGTCCCCTTTCCCCTGAAGGTCTTTCTCACCCATGGTCCCCTTTTCTAGTGTCATCACATACATACATCTCACAGCCATGGGTGTGTGCACACACAGATTTGAAATCCAGGTTTCCCGTGAGAGAAATCCTGAGCTATCTGTTTCAATGAGTGGCTTTGTGTATCATGGAAGGACTTTCAGTTTTAAGTATTTTTTGGCAAATGTCATGATTCCATTTTTCTTTCAAAATTCCATTTTGTACATGTACCACGTTTTCTTTATAAATGTTTTAAATTATGTCTCTATGTCTGTGTGTATGTTTGTGCATAGGAGTGCAGGTAGGTGCAGAGGCCAGAAATATCACTTCCTCTTGGAGCTGGAGTTACAGGTGAGCCACCATATATGGGAATAGAACTCAGGTCTTATTGAAGTGCGGTTCGTGCTCTTAGCTGTTGAGCTATTTCTTTACCCACTTACCATGTATTCTTTATTCATTCATTGTTGGTGTTTGTTGTGACTCATGTACTTTTACCAGTCTTATTATTTCAAATATGTTGTAACATTATTCTCTCCTGGGGGAGAAGTTGGCATGCAGAGTTAGAGCTTCCTTAGATTTACCAAAGACAATTTATATGGTTCACTATGGATTTCTGAAGTACAGTCTGTTTGATTTTAATGAGAGATTTGGCTTTGATACTACATTACTTAAAATAATTTAGTTGTGAAGTCTTTTAAATTGCCAGGAAAAATATAGTTCAATATTTTTCTCTTTAGATTGAGCAAGTAAGTTTAGAATTTAGCTTGGTCTACATGACTCATTGAAAATATGCTTTAAAAATTTACAATTCACTATGATAAGAATATATTGTATGAAAAATTAATTTCAATAATATATTAAAAATGAAATAGTCTACATGTGGCGATGTAAAGAGGTAAATTCTAATGGCTGTGTCCCCCTTGTTCTCTGTGCAGCCTCGTTGCTAATCCCAGCTGGTAGAACACTCCCAAGCTTTATGCCAGAAGACCTGGTATGTAGCCCTTCATCAAGCAGTGGCAGAGGGCTGTGCATACATATAGCTCGTGGTACTTAGCTTGCATGGGAGGAGACGTGGGAAAGCAGGGGGTCAGCAGTGGTTACTATGCCTGAGGAGCCTCACGGGAATGAGTCTCCCCTCACCCGCATCTCCTGGCTCTCAGCCTTGGTTAAGTTATGCATCAAAGTTAGGACATTCCTGAAACTACAGTATGCAGGGTTTAATGTGCTGTGTAATAGTACATACTCGGTGCCTCTTAAGTAGATAATTTTGATGTATTTTTTTTCCTGAATTTTTTTCAAGAGTAGAGTAATAGTTTTCATTTTATTTAAATGGAATATTTTGCTCTTTTTCTTTTTTGTTGTTGTTTTTACTTTGGTGAAGTAGAATTATTTTTTTCTCTCTAGGACTTGGAAGCAGGTAATAAAACCTTATAGAAAATTGAGTAGCTTTCAGATAGAAAGGAACAACACTTTTTCACATTTCTTTCTTTTCTGTGGTACTGACGGTCATAATCCATGAACTATTTTACACTGTGCTTTAGCCCATGGACTGCCTTTTCAGGGTGTGAATCTCAGTGGGCCAGCCATTTGCTTTTCTTCATTAAGATCTCACTCCTGTGAGGGTTTGCTTGACAATGGCTCTGCTCTGATAAGAGACTGATGGGACACCTCTGTCTTTGAGATTTATGGAAGCATCATTTTCCTTGATTACAAAAAGACTATGTTGTAAAAAAGTAAAAACAAATTCAGAAAGCAAACTGAAAAGGCCTGTTCCTCAAAGATAGCCATTGTAATTGAAATGTATCCACTAACTTATTTCTTAAATGTTGCGTTGCCTTTCAAGGTTCACAGTAGAATTGCTTTCTTTACAGTTTCTGTGATTTTATTCCTTTTCTCCCTCCCTCCCTCCTTTACTTCCTTCACTTCTTTCTTCCTTCCTTGTTTTTTTCCTCCCTGGTTTCAATGGTCCCTAGTATAGAAGAACCCTTTTTGCTAATAAATGAAGATCTGACACAGTTTAGTTAAGCAATATTTTATTGATGGACATTTAAATTATTACCATTTTCTAATATAGAATTTTACTGGTTCTATTTATAGCATGTGTCTGTTTTTTGTGAGATAATCAGGTAAATTCCTAGAGGCTGAATTTCCGGGACAGTTTTCAAGCATGCTTTTAATTACTGCATTTGCAAAATTGTCCTTCCAAAGAGCTGTACAGGCCAGCGTGCAGTCTGTACAGATAGTAGCCAGAGAAAAGCAGTTCTTATCATACCCTCACCAACACTTCATGGTACTTATAACACAGGAGAATATATCTCTTGCTTCAAAGGGGGGGAGAGTTTATTTTGAGTCAAATGTAAATAACCATAGTCTAAGAGCATAGGTTCAAGCTGTCATGAATGACATGTTCACCACAGAAATGTTTATGTGACCTTTGATAGTCACAGAGCAAAAGACACAAGTCAGTGTATGTAGGAAATACATGACAAGGACATCAGGCAGGCAGGTTCCACCAAAAAAAGTGACATCTCTGTTGTAGATTTTAGGTGCTATTTGAAGACATTCTTAGCTTCTGAGTTGGGGGAAGTTAGTGGCCTCATATAGATTTCAAAGGTTCAACCTGTCAGTCAGAAGATGTTAGAATCAGTTAGGTGATGATACATGGTTATTATGGGGACTAGAGAAAGTCCAAGATAATTTTGGTTTTCAATCTGCAGCATTCCAGTTGTCCACAATGATGAAGTTCTAACCAGACAATCAGTTTGCCGATTCCTTGACAGTAACCTGGCTTCTGCAGGAACTTAGTTCACACTTATCTCTTATGCTTTTGCAGATGTGATATATAAAAATGATAAATGCCATGATATAATAGTTTTTAAAACTCTAGGTTTAATTATATAAAATTATACATTATAGATGCACTATTATATCTACTTAAAAAAAGCTAAAGATCAATTTAAAGTCTAAAAGATATTTTTTAGGGCATTTTAAAACATTCACTTTACATCCCAATCATAGCTACCTCCCTTCTCTCCTCCTAGTCCCACCCTTCCTCCCTCTTCCCTCTACCCCCCTTTCCCTACTCCTCAGAAACGGGGAGCCCCTCACCAACCTACCCCAGCACATCAAGTCTCATCAGGACTGAGCAAATCCTCTTCCACTGAGGCTAGGCAAGGCAGCCCCACCAGGGAGTAATGATCAAAAAATGGGCCACAGAGTCCATGTCAGAGACAGACTCTGCTCCCCTTACTAGGGTACCCACATGAAGAGTAAGCTGCCCATTGGCTACATATGAGCAGGGAGCGTAGGTCCAGTCCATGCACGGTCCTTGGTTGGTGCTTAAATCTCTGTAAGGCCCCTGGGCCCAGGTTAGTTGACTCAGTTGTTCCTGTGGAGGTCTTATTCCTTCTGGGTTCTTCTGTCCTCCCCCCAGCTCTTTCACAAGGCTCCCTGGTGCTCTGCCTAATGTTTGGGTATGTCAGCATCTGTTTCTATCCGCTGCTTGGTGGAGCCTTTCACTCATATATAAGAATGCTGGGAGATTCTTATAAGCAGTTTTGGCTCTTTCGTTCGACCTCTTGAGCGTAGCTGTGCGTTGTGCCAGTGTTACCACAGTATTCGTTTTAGTCGTTACGATTTACCAGTCTCATAGCTAACCGCTGCAGTGAAACTCCTCCTGACGGAAGGAGCCAATGCTGACGTGCCCTTTAGTCAGAGAACCCAGCCTGCATTTTATGTGTAGTCAAGCTGTGCTCTTCTCGAGAATCGTATTTTTGATTCCCTGTGACAGAATTCTGGTCCTTTTATAACTTTCTAATATACACTTCTAGAATGCCGCCAGCTGTGGTGCAAACTTCACATTTCCTGGATATCCGATCCATGTCCCAGCAGGCATGGCCCTGCAGACGGCATCTGGTAAGAGCTAGTCTAAGGGTATTTGGTTTTAGCATGGACATTAAGTTGCATGACTTAAAAAAAATTATTTGTTCTTTGAGAAGTTCATACACATACTTGATGTTTTTTAATGTATCGACTCCTACTTCCTGAAAGGTTTCATGATTTTTAATAAACGGTACACTAGAGGTGATAGGAACTTCTAATAAAACTTAAATAAAAATAAATAGCAGTTGCAGTCGTCAGGAAAGCAGTGCACCGCAGACGGCACCGAGCTAGGCCCAGCTGGTGCTTCCTTCCCAGCTCTCTTCCCTAGCACTAGAGACTTAGCAGATTTATCTGCAACTTAGATTAGCTAGCTTAATTTTACTGTTTTTAATAAAAAAATTAAATTAGGGGCTGAAGAGATGGCTCAGTGGTTGAGAGCCCTTGTTTTCCCGGAGGACCGGGGTCTAATTGCTAGCACCTACCTGACAGCTCACAGGCATCCATTACTCTGGGGATCTGACGCCCTCCCCTGACTTCCGTGAGTGCCGCATTCACATGGTGCACATGCAGCACGTAGGCAAGCACTCATACACTTACACTAAGCCTTAGGAAGTTAACGAGAAATTCGCAGTATGTTTAAGTTAGGTTTCACCGTGTTTGCGGGGTGCGATGTACATGTGGCACCGGTGCACGTGGAGGTGGAAGGTGGCTTGTGGCCGCTGGTCCTCTCCTTCCGCCCTGCGAGTCCCGGGACCTGGGCTGAGAGAGCGCCCCTTCACCTCAGTGTTCGCAAGGATCTCCACCGCTGCAGTGCTAATCAAGGCTGACCGTTCTTGCTGGAGAGTTCATGGCTTAGGGCAAAGGACATGGCTTGTGGGATCTTCTCCAGGTCTGAAAAATGTGCAGGCTCTCTTGGGTTCCTGGGAAGTTTAAGTGTCCAATACAATGCTGAAAATAGTTTCCTTTTGAGTGTTATTTCAAAGGAACGACAGACGAGGTTTAAAAGATCAAGCTCCTCTTTTTGGACGATTTTGTATGATGCAAATCTTAAGTACATGAAATACACTTTCCATGACTGTTAAAATTCCATTGTGTACCACTAACATTAATTTTTTAAACAGAAGAGGCTCATAAATTAAATATTGGTGGCCTGTATGACCAAAATATGGCAGTTAAAAATAGGGAGGAAAGGGTACAGTTAAAACAAAACCAAATATATTTTTAAAAAGTAATGGATATTTATTACAAAAAATATAAAATATCTTAAAATAGATATTTTACTGCAGGTTAGGTTTTTGGGTGTTTTGTTTTGTTTTTTGAAATGAGAATTCTCATACTGGGCTGGGGAAATGACAGTGGGTAAGAATGGCTGTACAGAAAGCCTAAGGACCTGAGTTCAAATCTCCATCACTCATGAACAAAGCCAGTGCTGTGTGGGGCAAAGACAGGAGGATCACTGGACTTTCTTGTTTCCAGGCTCACTCTTGCCTCAAGGAAGCAAGGCAGAGAGCAAGAGCAGACACACCAGTGTCCTTCTGTGGCTTCTGTGCGCACACCTGCACACAGACACCCCCCACAACATACCACACACACACACAACACATACACATACATACACATACTACACACACACACATACACACACACACACATACTACACACACATATACACACAACACAAACACAGACATACACATATTACACACACACACACAACACATACACATACCACACACAGATATACACATAACACACAGACATACACATACTACAACACACCCACATACACACAAAACACATACACATACATACACATACCACACACACCACACACACATACACACACACCACACATACTACCCACACATCACACATGCCACACACACACACACACACACACACACACACACACACACACGCACACACACTCAGAACGAGAGAGAGAGAACTGTACTGTCCTCACCATTTTGCTTTTTCCTCTTTCAGGTCACCTCTACAAAGTCAACGTGCCAGTCATGGTGACACAGACTTCTGGAAGGACAGAGATTGTCCAGCACCCGTTTCAGCAAGTTCTCCAGCAGCTTGGGCAGCCGTCGGTGATCCAGACCACGGTTCCCCCGTTGCACCCATGTTCTCTTCAAGCAGCTGCTGAGAAAGCACACGGCATGGAGGCTGTGCTGCAGCCGCCTACCATTCTGCACTCCGCCCCCGTGGACAGGAAGCACCTGGAAGATGCCGCCAGTGAGAGGCTTGTTCTGCCCGGAAGTGAGCCTAAGACCATGCCCGAGGCCTTGCTGAGGCCGCAGGAAAGCTCTCCGTACCTCGGCCTCCCGGGAGTGGGCTTTCCTCCTCAGGTCGCTCTGAAGGAGCCCAGCCTGGAGCCGGTGCTGGGCATCTCGGCAAACCTGACGCAGAGTCTGCACGCTGGTCCTTTCGCTCAGGGCCTGCAGGCCACTCTCCACCACCACATGCTTGACGCGCAGCTTCACGGCCTCAAAGACAGGATGTATGGATGTGACTCCATACAGCAACTGAGAAAGTCAGAGGAGCCCAGCAGCCTCTCTGCCTCACAGAAGGTACAGTTCTTTGCTCTGGAATCAGGAAGTAGACTGTGGCCTTTGCTTACAGTTTCTAGGTTTTCCTTTTGAGGTGTAAGATTAATCAGAATTATATTTGCTTTGTTTTTCTCAAAGAAAATTGTTTCTTTTTTTTGTAGTGTCATGGCTAGTTTCAAATGTCAATTTGAGTTAGGGGAAGTGCGAAGTGAGTATAATAAAAACGTATTTCTTTACTTCTTAAAGAATTATAAAAATAATATATTAAATTTAAAGACAATATTGTATCACCTTTTTACAAACATAAACTCTTACCACCAAATCCACTTGTCCAGCTTAAGCATCGGGCTCACCTAATAGATTAGTCACGCTTTAGCACAGTTCAAGGTAGGTTAAGTACCACCTGAGCATTTGTCTTCAGAATATCTAAATTTTCTTTCTTCTTTCCTCCCCCTGCTTTCTCTTCTTGTCCTCCTACTTTCCCTCCTTTTCCTCTCTCCTTCCTCTTTTTCCTCTTTTCTCCACCTCTCCTTCGTTCCTTGCCCCTCCCCCTTTTTCTCTCTTCTCTGTCTTTTTTTGTTGCTCGATCACAGCTGGGTCAGGTAGATGCCAGGCAAGCGCTGAGCTGCATCCTCAGCTCTGATACTTCTGACCTAGAGGGGGTGGGGTGCAGTGATGGACTGTATTCAAGTGTGGTATAAACTATTTTGAGAATTTAAACAACTGATGACCGTGAGAAACAACTTGTTCTGTTTGTGAATATTTCAGATGTTTCATGACACTTGTTCCAGGCCTTCTAGAAAGTTTGCAAAAGGCTTCAGCTAGACTCTGGAATAAGGCATTCTTTCTCTTTTTATGTTCCTCTTCTTTCTATTTTGCCCAACTCCTTCCATTAAAAAAATAGTTTGGCTGGGCATGGTGGTGCATGCCATTAATCCTAGCACTCAAGGAGGCAGAGGTGGATCCCTGTGAGTTCAAGGCCAGCCTGGTCTACAAGTGAATCTGGGACAGTCAAGGCTGCACAGAGAAACTCTGTCTCAAAAAACTAAACAAAAAAAGAAGGAGGAGGAAGAGGAGGAGGAGGAGGAGGGGGGGGAGGAGGAGGAGGAGGAGGAGGAGGAGGAGGAGGAGGAGGAGGAGAAGCAGCTAGAGTGCTTTACTGCCAGGCCTGTGTGCTAGGCAAGGCTCCCTATCTCACCAGGTGGAAATCTCATTTCCACCTAGGTATTACAGGTGGCTCTTTTAAATGAGATTGCTAGTGGCAATGGAAGTTCAGGCATCCCAAAGCCTATGACAATACCAAAGTGTTACAGCCTTTTGGCTAAGTCACTGTATTAATGGCAGGGATGTGGGCAAAAGCCTATGCCTAGTAGGCTTGCAGCTGAAACACAGGTCTGGTAAGGCCCAGGACCACCAGGCCAGAAGGCCAGAAAGCAGGTCCAGTGAGGCACAGACCCAGTGGTCTTGAAGGCGGGTCCATGGCACTCTGTTCCTTGGAGTCATATATGCAGGCATGTCCTTTACCCCATATTAATACAGGATCGGGACCAGACCATTTATAAGTCAATGGGTCTTTCCACATAGCCTGCGCATAGGTGTCAGATGTTGAAGGGTGCCAGAATCTATCAGCTGCAGTTTTACCATGCTTATCAAGGGTAAGGAAATTTAAAACAAACAAGGCATGATTTAAAAGGGTTTATGATTTCCTGTTAGAGGATATAGGATACCTCCAGAGTGTTCTAACTTTTGGATCATGTTTTTAAGGGTCTGATGTGCCCTTTCTACTATGCCCTGGCCTTGTGGGTTATAAGGTATACCAGTGAGATGTTTGATTTTTAATTGGGCACAGAATTGTTTAAAGCCATTGCTGGTATATCCAGGGCCATTGTTTTTATAACCTTTGGTAGGGGCGTAAGGGCAGAACAGGCCAAGATGTGGTTTATAACATGTTTAGTAGCCTCTCCAGTCTGGAGGGAGGCAAAAATAAACCCACTAAAGGTATCTATAGATACATGGATGTATTTTAATTTTCCAAAAGGAGAATAATGAGTAACATCCATCTGCCAAAGTTCTCCCGGCATAAGGCCTCGGGGGGTTGACTCCTAAGTGAGGCTCAGGCAGGAACACCAAGCAATTTTTGCATTGGCGTACGATTTGTCGCGCCTGATCTCTCGTAATGGAAAACATTTGTCGGAGGGTCTGAGCATTAAGGTGATGTAGGCGATGGGCTTCCTGGGCTTGTAGCAGAAGGTCAGGTTGCTTAGGCAACGTCGCGAAGAGGGTTAGCTTAGGCTGAGTAGCTTGATCTACTTGGTTATTGCCCTCACCCAGAGGTCCGGGGAGCCCAGAGTGGGCCCGTATATGTCCAATAAAAAAAGGATGCGAGCGTTTTAAAATGAGGGATTGTAACTTTGAAAAGAGGGGGGAAGCATTTGTGGAGGGTTTAACACATGGGACAGTCTCTAGAAGTGGAACAGATGCAGCAACAGGTCCAGGCCAAGTGGGTGCTTTGGTGGCCCTCCTCAAGCTTATGGAATTCCCAGGCCCTGAGATTTCAGCCATGAATTTCTAGGGAGGAGGGAGGCCATCCCTTCTCCAGAATAAATGATGATGGAAGGCTGATGGTATCATGCAGCATGCAACACCTTTATTTAATGTGAAATCAGGGATTTACAAACTTTGGGCAGTGGGAGGGATTTCAAGGGTGAATGTGTTTGATTCGCTGGAGCTAGAGATTCTAGGGATACTTGATTTACTTGTAGTGGTACAGTACCTCATTTACATGCATTAGCATGGTCCTATCACAAGAAGGAGAACACTACTTAATTATCCGATGGTAGGGGGAAATCTCCAAGTACAATTGAAGGTCATTGCTGAAAACTAAGATCTTTGTGACAGAGGGTGGGGCATTCCAGGAATCCCCAGGTGCTTACTGAGCAGTTTCTTATCAAGAAAGGGTTCAGTTCTGTAACCTTATAAGAGCTGGGGTTACCAGATCAGACATAGAACTCCAGTGAGAAAAGGGAGTCCACCATTATAGACTTAGCACAGAGGCTATTAGAAAATGTCAGACTTCAACTTTATCTAGCAGAGTCCCACATAGACTGATGATATGCTTCATGCTTGGACTGTATTATGTAGTGTTGAGGTGGTGGTGTGGTTAGTCAAAAGAACTGGAAGTGCTCAGCAACATGCTGTCTGGAGCATGGTGAGTACACTGTACATTAGCTGTTCCTACCTCACCTCCTGGCTTCCAGAGACCTGTGTAAAATGAAACCCTGTCCTTCCATTGTCCAACACATCACCTTGATAGGTAAGCTCTGGTGCCTTCCTGTGTGTACATAGACTGTTGCTTTTCTCCCAGTTTCTTATTTATTCTTTCTTTTATGCCTAATATTTTATTGGGGACACCAAAGATGATGAGTGATTATTTTAATTTGATAGTTTTTTTAATATTGTATTTATTTACTCCCACCTCGTATGTGTGTGTGTGTGTGTGTGTGTGTGTTTGCAATTGTGCAAACCATGGCGTGTGAGTACACGTCAGAGGACAACTTTAATGAGCCAGTGCTTTCAGCTGGTTGAGGCAGGTTCTTTCTTGTTTCTGTGGCAAGGCTGTGTATACCAAGGTAAGCTGGCTCACCAGCTTCTAGCAGATAATCCTGTCTCTACCTTTCATGTTGCTGCAAGAGTACCAGGATTACAAATGCACAGCATTGCATCTGGCTTTTTATATGGATCTCAGGATTTTAATTCAGCCCATTTGGTTCACAACATCAGGGTCTTTTATCTGCTAAGCTGTCTCACCAACCCTGAACAGTTTCTAAATCTCTCTATAAGCCCTGCCTAGTAAGTAAAGAAAACTGAACATTTTCTCATACTCATCAAATATACTAAAGTATTCCATGTTATAAATAGTTTTGATGAAATTATGTTGGTTTTGATGGTCAACTTAGTTGGGCTGAGAGACCCGTAGGAGATTGTAAATTTCTGTGTCTATGAGAGTGTTTGCAGGGAAAAAGATGTGCCCTGCACATGGCTGAAAAATATCTATAGTTCAGGGCCAAGGCAGACTAAAAGGTGAAGAAGGTAGAAACCAAATAGTAACATGAGCACACTTTCTCAGCTTCCTGGCTACTGAGGTGAGCAGCCTCATCCACAGTGTACTCCTATTGCCATGATGGTCTTGTTCACCTGAGGTCCAACCCAGTGAACTCAAAGCTCTGAAGCCATGGGGTGAAATAAATCTCTGCTTGTTAAATTGTTTCTCTCCAGTATTTGTCACAGTGACAAGAAGTCTGAGAAGCACATGTGGCAGATGGGAGTAGTGTGGCTCAGGGTATTATTGTCATAGCCTGCTAATGTGTAGCCAGTGTTGCCATATTGTGATAGATCTAGGTTAAATTTCAGTTAAGAATAAGAGAAGTTTTGTCCTGCTGCTGTGAGCAACTAGACTGTACATAATTTAGCTTGCAGATTAGGGGATGGGTATTGAATTGTAGTTTAGGTTTTTTATGGTTTAAATTTATTACCTTGTATTTTGAAGTTCTATCTTACTAGTCACTGGGATAATGTAGCTATTTCTTAAATTGTAATGGCTGGAAGCTGGATTTGGTGAAGCTTTATCTTAAAGAATCCTGTTTTTTGTTGTTTTGTTTTTTGCTTATTGTATTACTTAGCTGCAAAACTCACACATACTTTAATCACCCAGTGAAGTGGAAGATCTTGGTCATTGTGCAGCTGGTTTGCTCTAGAAAAGAAAGGCTGAAGCAGCTTCATTACATCGTCTGCAGCAGAACTGCTGACATTTTCTACTTTCACACAGAATTCGTGGAAGAACCAGCACTGACATTCCTTTAACATTCAACAGGGTAAAAATACCAGTTGCTTCTGAGGGCAGCTGGCATCTGATTTTAATCTCCATTCACACACTGACATCATTAAATAATTGCTATGCTGTGAGTCTTTTTTATTTTCAAGCTAGAAACTGACGTCTTTGTAACCATGTGGGGCTCATGCTT